GCTATTCGGTTTCTTTCGCTTAGCGGACTACTCACCCACTGGCTTCCAGGCACATTGAACTCCTCGGTCCGTACTTCAAGACGGCGGAATAGATGACTCCCGCCAGCATCCCAACCTCGCAGAAACCTACAGGTCAACCAAAAAAAAACAGGCGCGTGCTCAAGGCCCTTGACCTTTGCGACAACCTCCAACTCTCGCGTCGCGCCTTAGTCAAGGAGCGCCGGAGAAAAAAAATAATTATATGACAATAAATAAAAAGTATTTATCCAACTTTTAATCGTTAGAATTCGACGAACGAGGAAAGGGAACGGCTAGTACCGTTTCGATGCCGCCGGCGACAAAACTAAGGGAGATAGCCCGCTGGGCCCTCAACCCCTCGATCCCTTCGTGCTACTCTGATACCCCGCGTCGTCGTCGCTCCATCTCGATCCTTGCATCTCTCCGATGAAAGTCTGATGTTGTAACCAATAGTGCTAGGCCCAAGGTTGGGTCTAGCTTTGACGGACATCTAAATAAGCGGATACTGCACGACATGAGGATCTACCGGAGCGTTTTAAAACCACGCATCGGCCTATCAGCCAACCTCACTGCCATCAACCTTCCGCGTCCACCGAGCGGCTAGACAGATCCGTGCCGTTGAGCGTACTCACACTAGCACTTTCCTGGTCTTTTCACAAAAGCATCAAAGAAGGTAACAGACTTCACTGTCGGCCAGACACGTGAGCTCTTAGTGCACAGAAACAAATCTGTTGGACTGCATTTTCATCTCTGCCCTCGCCTATTTGCCACACTTTCCACAATCAAAGCCCTTAGAAAACCCATTTTTTTCTCAAAAAGAAATTTAAAGAAGAACCCTTAGCCAGAGTGTATTCACACTAGAACTTTCCTGGACGTGTCTGCCTGCACTAACGGGGTGCGGCGCTGACTGGATCTGGGGATTCATCGTCCCCCGCAGCGAGTGAGCATGTCGACTTCCACGGACCAGGCGTTCGCGCTCCGCAACGCTCTGGCGGAGCGAATGAAACACATGTGATCTGTGATACCGCCCGCCTCTTTATCGTGTTGCAGACTTCATTGGTGTTGTATTCCGCGGTCGTAGCTTCAGACCGCTTGCATCGTTCTCTTTTGTGCGAGCGATTAGTTTCTGTCGTCCTTTTGGAGGGTTTTGGAGGGTTTTCCGGCGTGGACAGCTTATTTTCCGGTATTCGTTCGTGTACCTCGACGCTAGTGTGATGGTCCTGTTCGTCGATCATCAGGGTTCCTCACATTGTCGACAGGTGTTTTCGTGACTACTTTCACCACAGCAGTGTTTCCGCTGTATTTCTGGGGAGTCTGGGGGGGGGGGGGAGGGGGGGGGGGTTAGCTCGCATGTGCTTTAACATTTGTGGTTGCGATACACGAGCGCTGTCAGAGGAATGCTTTCGCTGAGTTTTGAAGGATTGTATTTTTCGTGATACGTGTATAAGGGTTTCTTCTTGCATCCGGCTGTTTCCTTTCCTTCGACGAGCTCCGTTTTTTGTCGTCTACATGGAACATCTGTCTTGCATCTCGTCTGCGCTTCTCTGCATTTGCTAATGTCATTTGTTGATGCATCGGTGTTCCACCAAGGAATTGCATGCCGAACAAAAAAGCGAACTTCAAGTCACAAAATTTTGGTCCTTTCAGCAACAGCGTCGCTATCTTCGTTTATGTTCGTTTTTTTTTGCTTTTGTCAGGTGCCGGTGATGTTCACGAAGCCGCGATCCAAGAGATGGCATGAAGGGCAGCATACATCACAAGATGTGCACGAAACTGCGATGGATATTCACGCATGCATTACATGAGAATCCCACACACAACATAAGAAACGCAGCAGTGCACGGGCAATCATTGGCATGCAAATAGAAGCCGTTAAGACACACAAGTCTTTAATGGCATCCATTGACTTACATTAAAATCTTGAAACGGCAAACCCAATTTCTTCAAACTATCCACCCTTCCACGGCTTGTACCAACGACGGACTCTGCCTATCAGTTACATACAACGCGGATGTGGCATCGGCTGCGATCATAGACCAGGCTGTGGAGCACATCCACCTCCCCGACACTCTACACACGAAAATATAAAAAAACTAAACGAAATACAACTACTGCGCTGCGGAGTGTCAACGTGGCCAGCCCGTTGAACCGCGCACTTCCACCAAATGCAACTACAACACAGTGACATGGGCGCAACTTCCCTTTGAGAGGCGGCATTTCTGGGCCACGCCGAGCGGAACCTTTGCTGAACCGCCAGCATGGCTTGCCCCAACGAACCGCCAACATCGCTGCACCGCCTGCGCACGTGGAGCGAACCATCTTAGTGGCAGTGTCTAGAAGCCGCGGAGGTGGATGGCAACACCGTCACAAATCAAAAGCAACACCTCCCTCCCCTCTCCCCACCCCGCTGCCAACGGTAAACTGAGGAGGTCGTTGCAGGACGTTGTCGACGAGGAGGGCCCGTGATGTCCGTCTTCAGGCCGGTGCCAGTGGACCATGACTGGACCACCTTCGCCCGCCAATTTTCCTTCTAGACTTGAGGAATCGCAGATCCTCGGGCTCCAAAGGACCTCACAAGGTCCTCGCGAGGTCCCTTGGAGCCGAGGACGATTTGGCTGGGAAATCGTCGGAGCCCGAGGATTTGTCCTAGTGTTTTCACATTTTCTTTTCAAAAATCGGCTCTGAGGACAAGTGGAACGACGACGAAATCCTTGAAGTCTTGTCCCCGAGGAGTGTCTAACGACGCCCTAAGTCTCCGACCTTGCGGCTGGCCTCATGGTACTTCCATCTATAGAATGAGCAAAGTGAATGAATCTACCGCTAGAACATGTGTGAGTGTGTGTGTGTGTGTGTGTGTGTGTGTGTGTGTGTGTGTGTGTG